ATCCTTTCTTCCACCTTCTCTGCCTCCTTCCCTTTGTCCTTCCTCCTTATATCGTTCTGTCATTATGTCCCTTTCTTCCTCCTTCCTTATCATTCTGTCATCATCCTTTCTTCCTCCTTATCTGTCATTCTGTCATTCTGTTCCTTTCTTCCTCCTTCCTTGTCATTCTGTCATCATCCTTTCTTCCTCCTTCTCTGCTTCCTTCCCTTTCTCCTTCCTCCTTATCTGTCATTCTATTCCTTTCTTCCTCCTTCCCCTCCCTTCCTAGTAGGCAGAGGTTGTGAGATTGGCTGGGAAATGGTCACATTGTAAATGAAGGTCATGTGACTGCAGCAGCAGTCTATCAGTCAACAACAATAAGTAGCATTGAAGCAGTCACCACTTCCCCAAATTTCATTCTTCCAGGAGTCATAGGTCCCAGATTTTGGACACATTCTGTAAATTAGCACATTTGAGGTATCTTAGTTCAAAAATTGTTGCCCTATAATGCAGTGTTTTGCCCAGTTAAAGGTCATGACTAAGAGCCAAGGTGGCGCAGTGGTTAAAAGCAGCACTGCAGGTTACTGCTAGATCAGCAGGTCAGCGGTTCAAATCTCACCGGCTCAGGGTTGACTCAGCCTTCCATCCTTCCGAGGTGGGTAAAATGAGGACCCAGATTGTTGGGGGCAATATGCTGACTCTCTGTAAACCGCTTAGAGAGGCCTGAAAGGCCTATGAAGCGGTATATAAGTCTACTGCTATTGCTATTGCTATGACTATGCAAATCTATAGATAAGAGAAGGAAATATTATTTTGTTGTTATGTTTAGAGAAAGTGACTAGCTATGGTGTTAGAATTGAACAAAAGTGTTAAACTAATGAAGGAGTTTCTTAGAGGAAACAAAGAGAAAATGATAAATTAACATGCAGGACATTATTTGAAAGTATTTTAAGACCAAGATTTTCAATAGTTATTTCTTAGTGGAATTTTTCTTTGTTGAGTTTGAATGATGAGGCTTTTAACATTTGTGCATAGATATGAGATACAATATGGGAAGAAGAGAGTGAAAAAGAAGATCATGGATGGCATATACATTTAATAAATAAACACTAAATTGATAGCTTCCAGTAATAACGTATGCCTGTGAAAATTGGTCCATAAGGAAGGCTGAGCACTAAAGAATGGATGTTTCAAATTGTGTTGGAGAAGACTCTTGAGAGTCTCTTGGACTGCAAGGAGATCAAATCAATCTATCCTAAGACAATGAACCCTGACTATCCTTTGGAAGGACAGATACTAAAGTGGAAGCTCAAATACTTTGGCCACCAAATGAGAAGAGGGTCATTGGAAAAGACTTTGATGTTGGGAAAGATTGAAGGCAAAAGAAGAAGATGGCAAAAGATGAGATGGTTAGATAGTATCATTAATATAGTGAGCATGAGTTTCTGGGAGACAACAGGGGGAACTAGCGTGCTATGGTCCATGGGGTTGTGAAAAGACACAAGTTAGCAACTGAGTAGCAACAAAATTCTGATAGCTAAAAATACAAATCATCTGGAAGCTCTAGTAATGGGAGTCAAGGAACACAGTGAAGAAATGGAACTATTTTTTTAAAAAAAAAACCTAAAACCTCAGGTACAGCAGTTCGCTTTCTAGCTAATAAAGAAGTTATTGGTAGGTAGCATATACATTTGAAGATTGGCTATCAACAATAAAGGAACCAGGAATCAGAAATATGTTGCAGATAAGCATTTGTTAGGGTAGGAATAAAGTCATTGGAAAAGATATTCATACGCCATGATGTGTCCATACCTACAAAGATCAGAATCAAGTAGGCAGTAGTTTTCCTCTGACACTCTGTGGAAATGGAAATTGGACGTGGAAGAAGCAGGGTAGAAAGAGCATTAATGTTTTTGAGGTTTAATATTTGAGAAGATTCTTTGAGAATACCATGGACCGCAAAGAAAACAAAACAAATAGGCTTGTATAACAAATCAATCTAAAGTTCTCACTTGAGACACAAATGATCAGGCTCAAGCTATCATATTTTGGACACATTATATGACACATCTCTTTTGAGAAGTCCAAAGAACGATGAGAACAATGGAAGAAGTCAATCAGAAACAACATGGATGGATGTGTATGTGATGGATGCACTGTAAGAACTATAAGGGCCAGGCTGGGGATAGAACTTCCTGAGAAGGGCTATCTATGTGATAACTAAGAATTTGTACTGATGTCCCAGCACTTAATCAATCAGGTTATCAGGTCTATATAAAGCCCAGCATCATTTCTTGGAAATTAAGATCCTGGAGATTGGCATTTTAATTCACAGCATATCAGTTCCTACGCATTTCTTTAAAAACAATAAAACAATCAAAGGCAGAAGGGGCAGGTAGGCAGTCACTGAGCACAAAAGAATTGTTTATCTGCATATTGGAGCTCAAAGGACGCCATATTGCCTATCTTCTTAACAGAACATGAAGTCACTCAATGAAACTGATTCAGAACTGATTTAGGAATGATAGCTATACATTATACAATGTTCAACTGATTTGTAGCATTCCCTGCCACTATTGGAAGAAATATCCTGATCCATTTCCAAGCCGGGAGAAAGGCACTGGGATAAAATGGAGGCTGGAGGCTGATTGGAAAGAAAAGTTCCATTTATTAATTTAGCAGAACCACCAACCACGTGATTCTGTGTCAGCTGACAAAATTTAGAGTGGGTGGATTTTTATACCTTCTGAATTCCTATGGGGTCGTGTAGGGGTCATGGCTGGCTCTATAGGTAAAATGGGAAATGCAAATCCTAGTTGTCTGAGCTAATTTGTCAACCTTTGTTACTTAACTAAGTTTCTGCCTGACCGAGTCTTTCTGAATGGATTACCAAATCTGCATTTCTAAATTCAGTTTCTGCTTGGGGTAGAGAAACCGGGGATAGTTTCTGCCTCCCTTAAGTGTCCCCCTCTCATTTTTCCTTTAGTGGAAATATTCTACCCTTCCTTTTTAATATCCCCAAAATATTTCATTCTTGGGTGGCGGGGCTTCCCACACCACCCATAATACCAACTTTACTCCTTGCCATCAATTCCACTCACAGACCCTGAGCACTTCTGATCTGTCAAGTGAATCCAACAAACCTAAAACAAAAGTGATTGGCACTCGCTTCCTCCGCACAGGTCCAAGGGTGAAGAAGCAAGGGAATAAGTGCGATCCAGACAAAACACCAGCTCCATGCCTGTCATCAAAATACAGGAATAGTTGAAATCTGAACAGAGATTTCAAAGCCAGTTTTCTTTGCAGCTGGTTTTAAGGCTGCAGTGCAGAAATGCTCTAAAGAGGGAGCATTTATAGAGCTTTATAGATTGAACAAGGGACGCTGTGGCTCAGTGGCTAAGATGCTGAGCTTGTCAATCAGAAAGGTCAGTTCAACTCACTAGCGCTGCGTAACATGCCCAGCTTCTGCCAACCTAACAGTTCGAAAGCAGGTAAAAATGCAAGTACAAAAATAGGGACCACCTTTGGTGGGAAGGTAACAGTGTTCCCTGCACCTTTAGTCATGCCGGCCATATGACCACGAAGACGTCTCTGGACAGCGCTGGCTCTTTGGCTTTGAGAGATGAGCACCGCCCTCTAGAGTCAGGAACGATTAGCACATATGTGCAAGGGGAACCTTTACCTTTATAGATTGAACATTACAGAGGAAAATTGTTTTTGATGGTGTTTTGGCAGAATGAAAGAAGAGCGTTTCTTAGCATTTTTTCAAACTCGTTCCAGGCATTTCTATTGAAGACACGTGCATTTTGTGTCATCAAAGCCACCTTTATTCCAACCAGACCTTCGAAATTTTCCACTCTTCCTTGCATCATGATAGAAAAGGAAGAGGCAGCCTCTGAACGCGGGTATTGCACTGATTCAGTGAGACAGGAAAGTACAGACGAGTTATTCGATTGTGCGTGAGATTAAAAATACACTTTTAAAAATCCGATCATTGTTCCCGCCGGGTGGAAAAACTTTTCTGACACTACGTCACTATTGTATATGGGCGAGGCTCCCTGATTCCTCCCACATGCCCCAAAGACGTGAAAAGGAGGAAGCCCGATAAAACGACCTCACTCCTGGTCGCGGGGTGGGGGGAGGTGGGGGGGAAAGGGAAGGAATTTCTCTTTAATTGGCTGAGTCACATTTCGTGACAACCGCTTTTGTTTTGTCCCTTTCGAATTTCCGTCCTTCCTCCCTTTCACGCGGCGAGGGAAGAGCGTCTTCGCACGTTGTGCGGCTGACACGGCGTCTTCGCTGATTGGATCCTCTCCCACGAGGCCCCTCTGCTGATTGGTCGAGGCGCGCGCGGCCGCTTTCGCTCCCCCAGCGAGCTCGGAGAGGTGGACGCGGGGCAAGAAATGAGGACGGCTCGGGTTGCTATAGCTGCGGCGAAGAGGCCGAGGAGGTGAGGAAGCGGAAACGGGCGAAGCGAACCCGGACAGCAAAGCATTGTGGGTAATGCTTCCCTCCCCCCCCCCTTTTGGAGGGAGAGCGGAGTTTGTGTATCGTTTCCCGAAAGGATGGGAAAGAAAGGTCGGGTTGTATTAAGAAGCGCTTAATGCAGTGTTTCCCAACTTTGGCAACTTTGGCAACGCGAATGGTGGNACCCACTGCTTTGGTGACTCCAGCCAGCCACTCATTCTCTGTCATCCCCTTCTTCTTTTGCCCTCAATCTTTCCCAGCATTAGGCTCTTCTCCAGTGAGTCCTTTCTTCCCATTAGGTGGCCAAAATATTTGAGTTTCATCTTCAGGATCTGGCCTTCTAAAGAGCATTCCGGGTTGATCTCCTCTGGGACTGACCAATTTGATTGCCTTGCAGTCCAAGGGACTCAGTAGTGTAGTATAATGGTAGTATAGCAACACTCTTTTCCTGGCAGTTGGTGGATGTTTTGGTTAAAAAGGAACAACAGCTTAAATTTTCCCTGTCCCAGTTTTTTAAAAACTCCAGCTTATATCTGTATCTCTATCCCTTTTAGTATTCGGTGGAAATTCCTGGAGTTACAATTATGAGACAGTCCAACCGTTTCTTTTTTTGTGGTCACACATCAGGAAAGGTAATATCAACCTCCTTATTGCAACCTCTTGGGTTCCAAGAGCTATAAGCAGCTCTCATATAATATATCTTAGGCTTTTTCATTAGGTTTCCCTGCGTGATCTCCGCACTTTTGCTGTAGAACATGAGTTTGATGCCTACTCGGGCAGTTTGTCCGATTTTGACGTCCACGGCAATCTGTTGGTGACATGCGGCTTCTCCAGTCGAATGAATGGCCTAGCTTGTGATCGTTTCCTCAAGGTGTATGATTTACGCATGCTGCGAGCCATTACACCTCTGCAGGTCCATATTGACCCTCTGTTTCTGAAGTTTATTCCTACTTACACATCTCGCCTGGCCATCATCTCCCAGACAGGCAAGTAGGCAGCTGAATTGTCCTCTGACCTCAAATTTTGATCGTCATTGTGCTGAAACTTTAGAATGCTACCGTATTTCATCAAAACATAACCCTAGAAAATAAGCGAAGTCATGTGGGGAATGTTATGTTAGAAATCCAGAGAGAATTCATTTCTTCTTTTTGCTTTCTGTTCTAGGTCAATGTCAGTTCTGTGAACCTACTGGATTAGCCAATCCTGCTGACATATTTCATGTAAATACAGTGGGACAGCTAATAATGAGCTTTGACGTGTCATCCAGCAAACAAGCTATGGTTTTTGGAGACTCGGAAGGCTGTGTCCACTTGTGGGCTGATTCACCTGAGATCACCTTCAACGCCTACTCGCGGGAAACTGACTTTGCCTTACCTTGCATTGTGGATACCTTGCCCCACCTTGACTGGAACCAAGACCTCATGCCCTTGTCACTTATACCTGTACCTCTGACCACTGAGTCGTTGCTGTCTGACTGGCCTGCGGCCAATTCTATCCCCGCACCCAGGTAATTCTTCAACCCAGGAATGGTAAGAAGAGGATACAAGCTGTGTGAAAGTAGCATTGTTTGAGATGGAGGTTTGGTGGCATCATCCTCACTGTTTGGGGAGCGTAGCATTAAAAGGAATGATTAGAAAGATTTTTTAAAATGATTGAATGATTGCCTATTTTGCAGACGAGCTCCACCTGTTGATCCAGATATCCTTCGGACCATGAAGAAAGTTGGCTTTATTGGATATGCTCCAAACCCCAGAACCAAGCTCCGGAATCAGGTAGCAAATTTGAGACCTGCTCATTTTATGTGGCGGCTATAAGTACTGTAAGTAGTATTAATGAAAGCCTCATAAGAACTTGCTGTTTATACTTAAGTGGGGAATCCTACAAATACTACTGAATTAACGCTCTCAGATTTCCATACCATGGACCACAGTGACTCATGGTTGTTAAAAATTAGGAATCAGAGATGTCTGATATTTAAAGGTCTTTCTCTCTGGTTGAATCTGGAGTTAACATTATTGCAAAACATGTAGCATTGATATGTGTTTTAGAGCCAAGTGGAAAGAGAAAGGAACAGCCATATAGATTTAGGAGGTGAAGGGTTTGTTATTTTCAACTATATCTGATTGTTTTTGTGCATATGCTTTGTTATGGTGTTGCCAAAGATAAAATATGAAAAGATAAGTGGACAAACAAAAATGAGCATGTTCCTCTTTTCTGCAGATTCCCTACCGCTTAAAGGAGCTTGACAACGAATTTGATAATTTCAGTCAAGTCCCTGAATCCCCCATAGGAAGAGAAGAGGAGCCACGGATCTACATGGTGGCAAAGAAATACAGGAAGGTACATTTTTAACCGCTTCTCAGAATCTTCACCTTTTTCTTTAGAGAAAGGTTTAAATATACCCAAGGGTGCAGAGGTAGAAAAAAATTAAAATACCTGTCTTTTGCACCACACCTTATAAGTCTCAACCCCATCTGGAAAAAAATGCTGAGTTTCCTTCATTAGATTATTACTATTTTTGAGCTAGAGAATAAGAAAAGCTAATGTTAAAATCTATGATTACTATGGTAATATCACAAGCATAACGTTGAAACAGGGATTATGATCTGAGAATTTTCTTGAATTAGGATCTTTTTGCAACATAATTGTATGTTTTCTCTTTCATAGAAAATAGTATTGAAGGCCTCTGACTTTTGCTGTTTTGCTAAGTTACCATAAGTGTACTGTCCTTGTGGCTTTGTAAGATTGTCACACCAGAACATTTTTTTTTGGCTTGTCTTATTTAGGTCACAATAAAATATTCCAAGCTGGGCCTGGAAGATTTTGACTTCAAACATTACAATAAGACACTCTTTGCTGGTCTTGAGCCCCATATTCCAAATGCTTACTGCAATTGCATGATCCAGGTAAGCAAAGTGTTGTTTCTTATTTGTGACATGCCTATGCAACATTCCTCTTCCTCCTATAATTGTATGTTTTCCAATCGTATCTTTTATAGGTTCTTTATTTCTTAGAACCTGTGCGCTGTTTGGTCCAGAATCATTTATGCCAGAAGGAGTTCTGCCTCAGCTGTGAGCTGGGTTTTTTATTCCATATGCTGGATTTGTCCAGGGGAGACCCTTGTCAGGTAAAGATAAACTGATCTTCGTGTTTATCAGATCTTTCCATGATAGGCAGGAGCAAACCGAACCTTTGACATTTTGATCAAAGGTTATTTAGAAGACAACACAAGAAACTTCTTTCAAAACAGCATCAAGTGTAGGGGTGTATTAAGCTTTCTGGGCAAGGATGATGATTAATGGCCAGAAACCAAGTTTACCAAGTTTAGGACCGATTATTCATTTATACTTATCATTTATACTTACTGATGACTGAATATGATGGGACACAGCTGGGAAGAGTCAATTTCATAGAGGCTTAGTGTGTTAGAACAATCCCAGGTGGGAACTTTCTATCTGGGAGTGGCAATTCTTTGACATCTGTCAAGCAGCAGTGCTACAGGGCAGACTAGGGATTTATGGCTTCTGTAACACAAAACAATGATAAATGTTAAATTTGTCAAAATGTGAATGTTTCAGGTGTGGCAATTGGTTAGAGGAATTATGCACCATTACTAGGAGACATCTACACCTGATTGTCAATATTGGTTTGTTAATATGTGGGCTTTGCCCAAATTTACACTTTGCTTTGCTTTGACTTCGCCAATATTTGCATTTACCTCTTAGTCTTCAAGCAATATGATAAAATTTAGGGGAGTTGTGCTGTTCATAATTTCAGATGTTTTTCTCTTTTTAAACTGATCAATTTTGTAGTTTACCATTTGATCCTGTTCTGTGTGTTGTTGCAACTTTTTATTAATTCACTTAATTCACTTTTTATTAATTCACATTTATAAGTCTTAAAATTGTACACATACATGCCCTTTATGTTGTTGCCTTTTCAGCTAAGTGTGTTCTGCAAAAGAAATAAGAAACAGTAATTCAAAACAGTAAAAACAAGAAATAAGAAAACTAAGCACAGCTAAACCTGATGTATAACATATCATACACTGTAGCTCTCCGTACCTTTCTTTCCTTGCAAACCACTTTTCTTTCTGCCACGTCCATATACTGCCCTTTTTGCTTCAAACTTCTCTGAAAAGAAGATGATAAAGTTATCATTGGATAGAGTAGATTTTCTAGCCAATGATAACTTTCTCAGTCTTCTTCTCAGTTCATTTGTTCTTTCTTGATATACATCCTTGAGATGGCCCCACTCTCATAGAGCTGTGAAGACCTGGATCTTCACCTAAGCCTTTGGCAAGGGACAGTTGAGGCACTTTGCTTCATTCCATGTGGGCTGTCGTGCTTACTATCATTTTTTTCTTTTATTGGTTTTATTGTAATTTGTTTGTTATGAGCCACCCAGAATTGTTGAGAATCAGGCAGAATGCGTAATACATTATTACACATGTGAAATCATAACTACTACTTTTTTAGCTGGTATGGGTGTTTATTCACATCATGAACCTAGGATGTCAAAATATATCAGCTTAGTATATATGCAGAGCCAAGCAGTGTGGCCTTTTGTAATCGACAGATGGAAATTTTGTCAATGCGTCCAGTATTTTTTGATACAGTACTGCCAATAAGCACTAGCACCACTAGGGCCAGTTTATGCCACAATCTTTCAAATTCAATTGTCAGATCTTGATACTTTGTGATCTTATCTATGTCTTCTATTATCCTGTACTGTTGCCACATCAATTATTCACAGTTTCTTCTTTTCAACCACAGTTAAATCTGGTGTCTTATTAGTCAAGACTTTTTTAAAAAAATAGGAAACCCTGCATTATTTTCAGCTTTGGGTTTTTTGTTTTTTTTCATTTATATGTTACCACCAATTTTTCATTACTGGCTCATGATAATTTTTACAGATGTTCCAATGAATCATTTTAGCAATTGTGTTATGTAGTTTGTAATCAGTTTGTGTAATCTTTTTTCATGAAGTGAGTGTGTAGTCTGCTGTTTCTTCTACTTTGCATAATCTGGTCTTTGAATCATTTGGCATTTTTTCAATTCTGACCTTTTTTTGTACTCGTTTGAATTGTTTGTTTTTGCAGAGTCAAATTCAAGCCTTCAGTAATATTCCAATTCTAAGCTATTGCCAGGTTTTATCTTTATCCATTTTCCCTGAGACTTTTGTGGGAATTGCCTGTGTAATGTTTTTTGTTTGTTTTTTTGCCAGCATTCTGTTCATAGCTTTATTATAAGTTTTTGATATTCATGTTTGTTTCCCCAATTTTTAACTTCTTGTTCTTGGTTATCTTTTACATACTCAACCAATACATATTTTTCTTCTTTGACTGTTTGTTTGACTTGAAATAAACCTCCATTTCTGCAGGGCAGGTATAACCTATCAATATATGTAATGAGTTGTGAGTTTTCTTGTTTTTCAGTCTATTCAATCTGTTCAATTCAGCTTGTGTCTAGGTTCAGCAGCGTATTGTACAACAGGTATGACCCAGGTATCGATGATGATCCCACTGTTTAATTTCATCTTTAGCAGTTTTCTCACTCTTTGGATGTATTCTTTACTAATCATATTTTTAACTTGTCTATGCTGTTGATGTTATTCAACTTTAAAATACCCAGAGATTTGCAGACTTCATCCTGATGGTTCCTGATTGTTTGGTCATTCGTCATTTCAGTTCCATTACTGTTTGTGATTTCACCTCAGTTTACTGCAACTATAGCATATAGTATTTGGCACACTCTAGGCCAAATTCCATTCCATAGGTTTTGACAAAGTGCCCATCACAGCTATGGTCCATTGGAGCTTTTGGATAATGCTATCTAGCAGGACAAGGAAGATGTTGCCAAGGATACCAGCCACAAATAGCATTCCTTGCAAACAGAAAAGACAGTACCGCTGCTGGTCAAGTTGGGCCTATTTTGCCTCATGCCCCATAGGTGCAATTGATGCTTTGTTTCCTCTCAAGCACGCTAATATAGCTAGGATCTCTAATTTAGAAAGGGTCTGCAAACCAACATATTGTAGCCTGCACTCCATCAATTGGGAAGGACATGTGTTATACCGACACACATCCTAACCTTATTTATTTTCTTTCTCAAAAGACTGTTAAGAAGCCAGTTTGGAATAATGTTAAGGCATCAGGTTAAAAACCAGGGGACCATGAGCTCTAGGCCTGCTGGCACAAAGCCAGCTAAGTGACCTTGGGCCAGTCACTCTCTCTCAATCGTAGGAAGCAGGCAAGGGCAAACCACTTTCAAAATGTTGCCAAGAAAATTGCAAGGAATTGTCCAGGCAGTTGCCAGGAGTCCACATTGACTGGAAGGTACCAGAAAAGAAAAGGAAAAAAAGTAGTTTGTTAACTTTAACCTGAACCAGTTTAGATTCACTTAAATACTGAGGTCTGCATCAAGGGTAGAAGCAGAGCTGCTTTCTTCTTGCCTCTGTCACCGAATCTCTCTCTTTTTTGTCTTATAATTTGTTCTTTCTCCTCCTTTTTCCCATCATCCCCAATTGTTCAGCATCACAGTGCAAATAGTTCTCAAGTTTCTACCAGAATTGAGCCTGGAGTTTTGGTTTTAAATCATTGTGGTCATAAGCCAGGTCACTCAATTTACAATTGTTTTCACTATGGTCGCTAAGCACTCATCACAGTTGCAAAGTGAATCACGTCATAAAACATAATCCAATTTATCCAGGTGGAGTTTTTTGCCAGAAAACAGCAAAAATATGTTGCAAAATGTGATTATGTAGGATGCTGCAACAAATAAAAAGCCAATTGTCACATTCCCAAAATGCAATCCCATAATCACAGGAATGAGTGCAGCAGTTGTAACTTCAAGGGCAGGTTGCAGCTAACTTTTGGGGGGGTCTGTCATAGCTTCAAACGGTCTTTAAGCAACTGGTGATAAATCAAGGATTACCAGTATGGCTGCCTACCATTCTGCAGCTGGCCTTCTCTTCGCCCTACAGTTCCCCTGAATCAGTCCCTCACTCCTTTGGTTACTTTGGATGTCATGTCCTTTCCACACGATTCCTAAAGTAGGGGGTGTCAGACCAAGCACGCTTACAAGAGGGTTTTTGAGTGTGTTCTTTCAAGCGCTTAGGTTGGATTAGGAATTGCTTATTATTTTGATACATAATTTTTCTCTCGCCTTCCTTTGTCTCAGGGGAGTAATTTTCTGCGTGCCTTCCGCACCATCCCAGAAGCAGCTGCTTTGGGGTTGATCTTGGCTGATTCGGATGAAGCTACAGGGAAGGTGAACTTAGGTCGGTTGATTCAAAGTTGGAACAGATTCATTCTGACCCAGCTCCACCAGGAGACTCAAGAGCAGGAGGGCCCTCAGGCTTACCGAGGCATTGGGTGCAGGTAATAAAACCTTTACATGGGAAAGCAGTTAACTATGATGTACTTGCCATGTAGGGACGCAGTGGCTAAGATGCTTAGCTTGTCAGTCAGAAAAGTCAGCAGTTTGGCGGTTCGAATCCCTAATGCCGTGTAACAGAGTGAGGTCCCATTACTTGTCCCAGTTTCTGCCAATCTAGCAGTTCGAAAGCATGTAAAAAAATGCAAATAGAAAAATAGGGACTACCTTTGGTGGGAAGGTAACAGTGTTCTGTGCGCCTTTGGCGTTGTGTCATGACGGTCACATGACCAGTGAGAAGCCTTTGGCTTTGAAACGGAGATGAGCACTGCCCCCTAGAGTCAGGAACCACTAGCACATATGTGCGAATCCCTAATGCCGTGTAACAGAGTGAGGTCCCATTACTTGTCCCAGCTTCTGCCAACCTAGTGGTTCGAAAGCATGTAAAAATGCAAGTAAAAAAAAAAAGGAACCACCTTTGGTGGGAAGGTAACAGCGTTCCGTGCACCTTCGGTATTTAGACATGCCAGCCACATGACCACGGAGACATCTTTGGAAAATGCTGGCTATTCGGCTTTGAAACAGAGATGAGCATCTCCCCCTAGAGTCAGGAACCTTTACCTTTACCTTTATCTTACTTGTCTTGATCTGCTGTTTGTGCTTCAGAAAAAGAAAAAGAAAAAGTCTTCAGGGTCAGAATTATATTTAATAATTATTAGTTTGAACTAACAATTTAGCAAAGAAAAATGAATTGTACAGTATATACTGATCATAACATATATCTGCAACTGTTACTTAACGTTTTCAGTTCTCTAACAAGATCTCTAAATTAGGCCGTGTTTCTCAACCTGAGCAACATTAAGATGTGAGATCTTTAACTTCCAGAATTCCCATGTTGGCTGAGGAATTCTGGGAGTTGAAGTTCACACATCTTAATATTGTTGAGGTTGAGAAACGCTGGACTATTACAATGAAGGAAGTTCGCTCTTGGGGAATGAATATCGAGGGAGCAAAATATTGAGCTAAACTTTAATTGTTACAGCCTTGGTCTGAGTTACGTGCATGCAGTTCACTTCTCCCTTAATTCTTCTAGAGGTGTACCTGACCTGACTTATTGTAATGTGGTTCACTCATTAGTAGACTTTGAGATTATAAGGGAGGAAGGGGAATAAGCAGAAGTCTTTCTGCCCTGGCCTTCCGCTCCTGAATATCATCTCGCAACATTCTCTACTGATCTAGTTGTGTTTCTTCTAGCAACTTTGGATCTTCTGGGGACTCGGTCATTGGGCAACTTTTCAGCTGTGAAGTGGAGAATTGCAGTATGTGCCGCTGTGGCAAAGAGACAGTCCGAGTCTCTTCTACTCTCCTCTTTACGCTCTCTTATCCTGAGAACAATGGTATGGAGCGGTGGTGGGATTCAAATTTTTTTACTACCGGTTCGATGAGTGTGGCTTGGTGGGCGTGGCAGGGGAAGGATACTGTAAAATCTCCATTCCCTCCCCACTCCAGGGGAAGGTTATTGCAAAATCCCCATTTCCTTCAGATCAGCTGGGACTTGGGAGGCAGAGAATAGGTGGGGCCAGTCAGAGGTGGTATTTACTGGTTCTCCAAACTACTCAAAATTTCTGTTACCGGTTTTCCAGAACTGGTCAGAACCTGCTGAATACCACCTCTGGTATGGAGTTTCAGAAGTAATACAGTATAATGATAAAATAACATGGTGTTGAATGGAACTTGATTTGTCTTTTCTCAAAACATGGGACAGCAAATATGAAGTGCTTGAGGTTTTCCAAGTACTTTTTGTGATTCATAATGCATAAAACCCTATCTTTTTTTGAAAAAATATATTAA